TCCACTTCCTAGAAAATAGCTAACAAACTAACTGCCTAACTATTCAAACTTGACTGCAAAACAGAAAAGACTAAAACGACAAGAAAAACAACAGTAGCACTGGGACATAGCTCCAACAGATGTATGGTCGGAACCGTTTGGATGCTGCTTCTAATACGAATACCAGCTTTACAACGGTCTGAGTCCCTCGCTTCAGCCCCCTCTAGGCGTTTTGCTTGTATATAAAAGACAGGGCACTGTCTGTTCTTCTGGTCTTGGACTAACACGGCACTAGCACTGTCTGTTCTTCAGGTCTTGGACTAACACGGCACTAGCGGCTTCCTCGGTCACTGCCAATTATACTTGAAGAGGCTGTCGAGCTTAGCCAACGCCGGTACTTCTGGTAAATAGGACTTCAATTTATCAAACTTCTTACTCTTCTCCTCTCTCCATTGAAATCTACTACCACCACTCAACAATTTGAAGAAAGGGTAACATTTTCCCGTGGATTTTGAAATGAAGGGGTTTAATGCGATGACTTGCTCTGTCGGTTCCTGCACTTCCTTCACACACCGTGGGAGCCGTCACATCCAGTATTGCCTGCATCTTTTCAGGATTGGCTTCTATCGCTCTCTGCGTTACCATGAAGCCCAAGAATTTTCTGAACGAGACTCCAAAACACATCTTGCTGGATTTAGCTTCATGGCCAAGTTTGATATATGATCCTTAGAATGGCAAGTTTGGTATCGTCTCCTCAGTGTATTGAAGGTCTGCCTTAAACCAGAAAAAAATAGCCCCATCTTTCAAACGAACGAAAAAAACAAAAGCATTGAATTTTTCTCATGACATAAAAATACCACTTCTAAACTTGATCCAATCATGCTTATGCGGCAGCCAACATGACAGGGGATGATGATGTGTATGAATGACACATTATCTAAACAAAAGTTAGGGTCATGCATGCAGAAGGATGTCGTTTGTCGTGAATGCAAGCTGCTGTTAAGGTTTGCACCTTCAAAATGACCTTATATGTTTCCCGTTGAGTTTGTACTTTCACTTTTGTTGGCGACTATGTCTGTAGCATGTCCAGATTTTGACATAAGCTTACTTGCATGGAAATTTAACATGTAAATAGTTTCATCTCACGAGTAAAATTTGATGTTTTCTTTCTATATTTGAAAAGTGGGATTTTTTTTTTCCTCGAAGATAACTTAATGGTTTTTTTTATAATGACACAAATGGTCCATAAACTTTGCCTTAATGTGCAATGTAGTCCCGGAACTTTTAATTTATTCAATGTGGTTTCTAAACTTTACCTCAATGTGCAATGTAGTACCTGAACTTCTAATTTGTTCAATGTGCTCCCTAGACTTTTGGTACATGTTCAATTTAATTCACGAACTATATGAAAAATGTTTAATATTGTCTTTCAATTAATTCAAGTTTAGAAACAATATTGAACATTTTCATGAACTGCAGGGATTAAAGTGAATATGTACTAAAAGTTTAGGAACTATATTGAATAAATTAAAAGTTCAGGAATCACGTTACTCATTAGATCAAAGTTCAGGAACAATATGTATCATTTTTCCTTTTATTTTTTCTTAGTTTTTGGTGTCTAATAGATTAAGTATAGAAAAATGATTTTCTAACCTACAAAAACTGTCCACGGGTCAGGGAAACGTGTTGGAATTGGAATGATCGAGAGGGCGGCCGTCCCCTTATCCAGAGATAGCGACGATTCCAAACGTCTTCTCACCTTTTGTTGCTGGAAACTCCTGTCTTCTTTTTTTTCCTAGAACCACAACCACATAGAACAATCAAGAGGAATCTGCAAAACTTGGTCACGATCAAAGTCAGTGGAGAACCCACCAGTTTGGTCCCGACGGCCATCGAAACGCAGAGAAGAGATCCTAGTACATCTGCCTATTAATTGCAATCACCAGAGCGACTTGCAAGGCAGACCCAGAGAGACGATGCTGTTCTTGGATTCTACAGCCGCCTTCTTCTTCCAAACGCTAGTCTCGCTCGTCCTGCTCGTCATTTTCTTCAGGATCGCCGTTGTCTTCTTCTTCCTCGTCTTCCTCTTCGCGCTGTGTTCGGACCTCGTTTATGTTATTACCGATCTTCTTGTCTATCACCCCTGAAAGTAGCAGCTGAGAGCACTTCCCTTTTAGACTTGCGGAAGTCATCTTTTAGGTTTGGGAAGCAAAGGGAAGCCGTTGATCGATCGAGTCCAGATTGATGGCCGGACAAAATCGCAAGAACACATCCTCGATCTTCACAAGTCGTGACGGCAAAGGGATTTGACCCGGGAGGCGGAATTGGGAAGAATTCCATATTCAGATGATGTTCCTGAGAAACCGCCACAGAAGAATTCCATATTCAGATGATGACCCGGGAGGCGGAATTGCATTCTGAAAATCTCCCGGTGTGCTAGATCTGCTTAATAAGAAGATAAGTGTGGTATGCATGACAGCATGAGTAGAATATCTTCATTTTGTATAGCTTCTCAAAAAATGTAAATAAAGGAGTTTTTGTATGTATGATCATGCAAAATCAATGACCAACCTACCAGTGCTTTCGACATGGCGATGCACGAACATCTATAATGATTTTTAACCAATTTTTTCAAGCAAAGATTAATACTTGTGCATATTCTTTTAGAAAACACTTAAAAAGAGGACAATCGTAAAAAAATGACAAATTCATAGTTTTATAATTTTTTTGATGGTTTGGTAATATGTTCTATCATCAATAAGATATACTTCTTGTCTCTATTAGCAAGAAGAATGGATATGCATCAGTGCGTAAAACTCGGGCAAAGTTATTGTTGAGTCATATAGCACGCTCACATGCAAGCTTTATCCAGCAATTTGCTTTTTATAGTCACAAATTCTTTATCATAACAAATCTATAATCACGGACCTCTAACTGTCATACATATTTTGATAATAAATATATACAAGTGTGCATATATAGATTCTATTTTGAAAAATCTATAGGCTGAACTTTTAAAAGCCATGGAATAAATTCCACTATGTAAGTTATAAAAAGAAAATTAAATGCTTCAAAAGTTATATTCCATGATTACACATAGAAATGTATAGTTTTTGGAATTATATGAAAATAAGGAAAAATTCGTAGAAAAGGGTGAAAAAAATGCTTTAGGATGGGAGTAGGTGAAGATGAAAGTAGCATTGAAAGACTAGTGTTTCTTACGTCTGGAAACTTAGATATAATGTATACATTAGGAAATCTGAACTTAGGGTCAAATTCTTAAAAAAAAAAATACACCAATTTTTTTTTGCGAGACAATTTTGGCTCTACTAAAAAAGCACAATCTTAGGATTTGGTCAAAGCAAATTAATTGCACCAACCAACTCTTACCTTTTCCGAAACTATCCATTAATGAGTAAAAGCCATAAGAAAGAGGCTTCTAGGAATTATACTTTTATGCAGCTATTTTAGACTCTAACTAAAGGGTTTTGTCTGATAACCATATTAAGCGTTTTTTTTTTGGTCAAAACCATATTAAGCGTTAAAAAATTTAAAAATTCAGCATTTGATGAGATTAACCTTACTCATTAACTTTAATTAGTATTGACTTATAAAACTCAATCAAAACGCATCAATAATGATCATTGTTAGGTTTGGGAAGAGATTAATAAGTTATAAATTTTGAATCATCATCAACCGACTATTTAATTTTATTTTCAGTATTTAAGGTTGTCTACACTTAAACTTCAGTACTTTAGATTTCCAGTACTTAAATTCGATTTTGTCAAACAAACAGCTGTATTAAAATACTTTTAGAAAGAAGAGTTTTCATTAATAGGGTAACAAAATCACAAAATTCCAGTACTTAAACTCGATGATGCACTTTGTATCTTCATACTTCCACTTGAGAAAGTATCCCATAAACCTAGTTAATATACTAACATGAATCTTCGACCCAAAAAAAATAAATAAAATGAATCTAGATCGTCATATTTGGTGGGACCTATGTGGAACTTATAATTACTATGGTTTAAATCAATTTAGTATATATACTACGCTCATGCGATAATTTCTCACACTTTTCATACTATTAAAAATAACATAAATTTTTTTATCTTGGGCCAATGAAAGGAATTCAAAGATTGAATATGTCGATTGTAGCTTCTGTATTAACTGAGATTAGTACATTACACGGTAACTTAGAAAAAGAAGAAAATAATAAGAGATTACTTGGTATTGTATAAAGTTGGAAAAGGAGAAATAGAAGCCTGTAGCATAGTTGGAGATAGGGGTGTGGGGTTTTGTTCAACTCGGGAACCAGGTCAAATCGAGGACTAGTCCAATTCCCAGTTCCTAGGCTGGAACCGATGGTTCTATTGGGGAACTTGTTCAACTGGTTCGATTCTCGGGTTGAATAGGTCTTTTAAAAAAAAAATTGCACATATGGAGAATCAAACCATGATCTTCGTGATGGCCAAACAAAAGTATAAACACTTAACCAACATATGTTTTTTCGTAGTAAATAGTGTAATGTTTATAAAAATTCAAAATTTTTGGACAAAACAAAATTTGGACCGATTCCCGATTCTACTCGGAACCGACGTGATTCTAAAATCAGCTGATCCGGTTCTCAGTTCCAATTTTGGAACGCAGTAACAAGTCGAATCCCAATTCTCAGTCGGGAATTGATCCATCTAAGAACCAATCACCCCTAATTGAAAAGGCCGTTCAACGAACGATATAATAAGGTGGACCAGATCACGTTTATCGTATTTTTTACATACCCTCAAATAAAATGATCTAAAAATCGGAATCCAATAATCTCTTGACATAGGGGGGGCACAGACTATTATTTTCGCCTTTTCCTTCTTTTCGCTCACGGATGTGAATAATGGCAAAATCGGAAAACTTCTTTTTTGGTACAAAAGAAATACATTATTCTTGGCCAGCTGTATCCAAGAAATTCTCTTGCTCCTTTCGAGTCACCTTCACTCCTTCCTCTCCCACTCCTACGCACTGTGAACTGTAAACCACGAACCACAAGCCACAACGCGTAAGCTAAACAAAGGAAGAAGTTTCCATCTTCCTCGTCACTCGATATCCCATCAGTCACGCAACCTTCCCGAAATAATTCATTTATTAAGGCAACAGCTGTTCGAATCCCAATGGCATCAGCAGCTTCCATCAAACCCATCGCCACCATCAACCTCAGGCGTCTGGTCGACCGACACGGGACCAGATTCTTCTTCTGCCACTGTCGTAGGAGCAACCCAGATACATGGAGAGCCTATAGAGATGGCCCTGCTCCTCCTGACGGATTCCCCCGTCTCCCTGGCCGTGGGCCTCCTCGTGCTCTTCCTCCTCTTCCGCTTCGCCTTCAAGTTCTTCATCCTCCTCCTGCTCTTCCTCGTCTGCTCCAACTTCGTCCTCGTCATTCGATGACCTCTCCGCCGCCCCCCTCCGGTTCCTCCCCCGCTAAAACGGTGCGCTTCATTCGCTCTCCCCGCTTCTGTGTGTGTGTGTGTGTGTGTGAATTGATGCTGATGCTGTGAGTTTCTACTTTCGAAACTGATTTGTCGGCTCCAAGTTCCTATCTTTGGAAGCAGTGCGAGTTGGGTTTAGTTGTGAAGTTATCCCCGATTTGTGGGTTAGTTGACTATGAACGATCGGCTTGTGGTCTCGCGATTTGCTACACCCACTTTTGAATTATTGATATTTTCAATATGGGGGTCGTTTTGGTTTTGCATGATAGCGAGTCTGTTAATCTGTTATAGGACTGTGAGCGAGGGTTTAATTGAGTTTAGTTTCTGCAGGTGAGGATTGCGATAAAGGGGAGAGTGCAGGGCGTGTTCTATAGGAACTGGACCATCGAGAATGCGACTCAACTGGGTTTGAAAGGTTGGGTTAGGAACCGTAGGGACGGCTCCGTCGAAGCACTGTTCTCGGGGAAGCCCGAGTCGGTGGAAGAGATGCAGCAGCGGTGTCGGCGGGGGCCGCCCGCCGCGGTGGTCACTGGCCTGGAGGTTTTCCCTTCCACTGATGATCCGGGCACTGGATTCAAGCGCATACCGACCGTTTGATCGATTTGTGTAGAGACAGTGAGTTGTTGCCAATATTCTTACTTTACCATGTAACGTTACTTTTGTTCCTATAGTAGCAATAGTACCCTTCTGCATCTAATTGAGGATTTGTGTGGGAAAGGAGGATATTTCTTACGCCGCTTGATTATGGCAATTTTTTCATATCAAGCGTTGTAAGCATCATTTTAATAGTTTTCTTGACATTGTGGGAATAAATGCTTACCTTACCTTAGTCATACTGTACTAGAGAACGTTGGTTTTTTCTGCTGGTTTGGCCTGCAAAAGGATATGGTTTTAATTCTAATACTAACACGAGTGCCCTCCTGCCAATTTTAAGTCTGATTTTATAATCACTGATTCTTTAGGTTCACCTTTTAATTTTCACTATAATCTGTGGCTTGAATTGCAATGTAATGTGTGAGATGTCAAGTAAGTGTCAGTTTGATGTTTAAGATAGTCAAGGTGATGCTTTTGAAGCGTGAGGTAGGTCTTATTGTGCTAGTGTGTGTACCTTTAACTCTGACATGTCCGGTACTATCAATTTGAGAAACTTGGTAATGTGTTTTCTTCACGTTATTTGTTGATGATATCAGTAAGGAGCAATGTCTTAGGATTGATCTGAACTTTACATACCTTATGGGGCAGCCACTCTCTGCATTTGTAAGCCTGAAATGGACCTAATTCAGCAATCTGCTCATCTCGAAAACATTCCTTTCAACGCTCGTTGAATCTTTATGGATGCTGGATTATGTTTTCCTAAAATGCAGTGTCGTTCCATGTTTTTAGAAAGTTTAATGGGATGAATTTCTGGAGGGCTATTTGGTGCACAATACAGTTTTCTGTTTTGTTTTGTTTTTCTTTATTCTGGCAGTCAGTTCTAAGAACATATTCGTTGCATCTTACTGTAAGAATCACATTGCATTTCAGCAATTGATGTGCATAAGGTTCACGGGTTGTTGGGCTCTGACATCAACTTTGATCTGGTCTATTCCATTAATTGGCTGTGGATACAAACTTTCCTCCTTTTCTTTCTGGGTTGGTAGGAGGATGCACCCTTTTTCAGGGGAGACTCTATATGTAATGGTTTTCAGAGAACCGTTTATATCGAAAATTTATTTTTGTAGAGACAAGAAAGAACAATTTTTTTGGCTTTTATCTTCTATTTTCTTGAAATATATTTGGCAAGTGAAGATGAAAATTCTCGCCAGTGATGACGATTGTGAGAAAATGTTTGATTATATGCTCCACAAGCGAGTCACTTGTGAAACCGAGCGAACGGTCTGGTCTATTATCCCCTACAAATGATTTAGTAGAATTGTTTTGCTGCATATTAGCACAAAGTGCGAACAACAACTAATTTGGATAGTTACATTGCGGATTTCTTCATGTCCAGTCTGTTTTAAAAGAAAGGTTCCAGCATAACTTTTGTTCTTGAATAGCTCATTGTGGTCGCTAGGATGGTTCTCTATCGTCTAGACTGAGGTTCCATTCCTGCTTGCTTTTCCACTTTGGGATAGTGCTGGCCCCGCTTGCGTTCGCCTACGCATTTTCCAAATGCTTTCAGGAGAGGCAATCAGGTGAGATGGCTTTGTGAGCAAAGAGATCAGTAACATCTCTGATACCAACTATGGAATGTGGTAACCAGAATCAATCGGTTGTTTACCTGTAACGAGCAACTTGTTCACCTACTGGTGATGTCAAGAGAGTGATTGTAATCGATAAATCAATACAAGTTTATGCCCAACATACTTAGAATACTCAAAGACAATGTTTTGTCCTAACAAACCATTGCGAAACGCCATTGCAACATGACTAACATTTGCCTTTAATTAAGTTGTTTTTTCGTTCCCAGAGATTTTACTTTACGGTGATTTATAGGAGCTTTAGCAGCGACCTACTAACGCGACCGAAGGATTCAAAGACGATTGCAATGTTGCGCCATCACACATTTGAAGCGATTGCAACTGTAGATTTAGGACAATTTATTTTCAACTTAAATTAGGATTTAGAGACGATTACAATGCTGCGCCATTACACATCTAGAAGGATAGGATAATTTCCAACTTAAATTAGGATTTAGGACAATTTATTTCATGGTTTAACTTAGATATTATCCTAATATTGATAGTTTTTTTTATCGAAATCTTAATAGTTTATTTAGGGTCATTTTTAATTCCGAATTTCCATGAAAAATACCAAAAATAAACATGGCCTCGCCTTTGCTGGGCGAGGCGAGACCTCGCCGTCGCCTGGGTCGCGACGGCGAGGTCTCGCCTCGCCGAACGAGGGCGAGGCCGACCTCGCCGTCACCTGGGTCGCGACGGCGAGGTCTCACTTCGCCGGATCCGGCCCTCGCTGGGCTCGGCGAGGGTCGCCGAATCCGGCCCTCCATGGGCTCGGCGAGGGTCTCCGGGCCCCGGCCAAGGGCCGGCGACCCTTGCCGACCACTGCGCCCACCACCGCCGGCCCTTCACGGCGGTGGTGGGTTGGCGGCAGCAGCGGCGAGGGCTCCCTCGCCGCTGCTGCAACTTTTTTTTAAAAAAAAAAAATTTAAAAATTCGAAAAAAAACCACGTAATTTCCACCGTGTACAAGTCAAACCATTTTTTTTTAGTATAAATGCCAGGTCAGCTTTTTAGTCGGAATTTTGGCTAGAGTCACTAAAGTGATCGATTTTCCTCCGACTTGGCACCAAAGTGATCCGAAAAAAAGTTATGTCACCAAAGTGATCGCCGTACACAAGTTATGGCATTTCTAGTGTACTTTTGCCATTAATTTTGTCTATCATTGCAAATTGCATGTCACGTTAAAAATAGACATACTTTACATGTCATTGCATTTATGCACGTAGGGTAGTTCTTAGTTAAATAAGAGAAAATCCTAAAAGATGTTGAGTGAATTGCCTGTTAATTAGAAATAATATTTAAGTTTTCCATCAATGATGGAAGCTTGCTAATCATGTCAGAAACCCCTGGTCACCTTTCTTGTCCTGTCCACACCAGTTTCGGGAGAACACAGGGAATATTATCAATTTTGTCCCTGTTTTCCTGCTGCGAAGGTTCAAAGCAACCCGTTCATGTTTGAAGGTTCGTTACCAGCGCTCACTCTCATCGGCGACGCTTTTCAGATCCTCCTCGTGCAAGCTTGGCTAGAAATCGCGACCGACAACACCTCCTCGATAAGGTGATTTCATTCCTCTCTTTTCTGGCCTGTTCCGGAGAAGTAAGAGACCAAGTTGTGTCCACGAAGCTCATGTATAAATCACTTATGAGTTGTTTGTTGATGATTGATGAGGACTTTATTATTCTAAATACTGATTTTAGACTAGAAACAACTTCTTGACTAGATTCAACCCTTTCAGTGAATATAAATAAAATGTTTGTTGAAATACCGAAACCAGATTTGCATAAAGTAGTCTCTAATTTTGAATTACCATGAGCGTTTTCCATCATACCTTATGTGAATGCGGCTTCCAATTAATATTTTGCGATTTCTACCGTATTCCTTTTGTCACCGAGCAAGAACTGAACCGATTCTTTATTCTTTCTTTTTGCTCTGCGTCCCCGTGTATCTTTGTGACGTTCGATGACGCTCATCGGCAAGGAAAACGAACAAGAGTCGCTGATATGTACGTTGTTGGTCCCTGGCAATGCCTTCAATTGCCTAAATTTGCCTTGTTAGTTCCTCACATCCTGCGTGTGTTCTGCAAAACGGAGGCCTCATCGTTGGAAGGTCAATGGATGGAAAATGCATGGTTGTCTCGTGGAGGCCAGCGGTGGACATTAGCTGAGTGAGAGAATCCTGGTTTCGTATTTTCCGGCGAGGGTTATGGATGTTCTGAGTATAATTCTTACTTGCATTTGATTAGAACGTGTGAATGAGTAAGTTTAGTAGATTCTGGAGATGATGAACACTGAAGAAGGAAAATATAAGTGCCCAGAAAAGTGAAATGAAAATAAAAAAGAAGAATAAATAACAAAGGGAAAAAGGTCACAAAAAATCCCAAATTATGCCCACTGTAATACATTTATCTTGAACTTTTTTTTTGCGATATAAAAAATCCAACACTATGCCCACCGTGACACATTTACCGTAAACTTTGTCTTGTGACATAAAAAAATCCTAAACTTGTACATATGTGACAATTTACCTTCCGTCAAGGTTCTATCAAATTGTTTTTTTCAATCAAAACAACATCATTTTTATTTTACTTAAGTTGTGTGGATGCCATGTTAATACTGTTTGCTTTCCGGCGTCCATGTAGGTAGATTTTTAACGGTGCTCATTGACGGAACCTCGATTGAAGGTAAACGTGTTACACATGTATAAGTTTGGAATTTTTGGTGTCACGAAAAAACATTTAAAATAAATGTGTCGCATTGGGCATAGTTTGAAATTTTTGGTTGCTTTTGTCCCATAGCAAGAGAATAAAAAAAAAAATAAGAAGATGGGTTTAAGTTTATCTTAATAATTCGGGCTAGTTTTGTGTTTTAAGGAATTTGGGCTTAAGTATTCGGCAGAGGGGGCCTGATTTGTTTTGAAGGAGGCATTTGGTTAATTGATTGGTTTTCTCAGCATGGTTTGTGCTAGGTTAGGGCTTAGTTTGTTCTAAAAAGGGGGCTTGATATAAAAGCCCAACCAATCCATATTCGGCCCGGCCCCAGTCCCCACTTTCCAGAAATAATAAAATAAAAAATTCGAAAAATGGTTAGATTGCTAAGTTTTAGCACTAGATTTAGCTTAGTTTCATTTAGTTAGTATACATATAGTTTAGGAATTTTAGTGATTACCTTTGATTTCATTTAGCTTACGTTCAAGCATTCTATTGATCCTTTGGTATCCATCTTTCCCATCCATCATGGACAAAGGAGGGATTCTTTTGAAAGATCTCATTGACCAGCCATGGATGACTAGCTCACGAGCGATGCCGACACTCATCCATTGTTATCGTCGTTTGGGAATGATATTAATCCCTCTACTAAAGGACACCTCAATGTTAGCATTTTCGAATACGTTGTGATTACGCGGGATGAGTGGTTCATGGCTCATCCATAGCCAGATCTGATCGGCTCAGTCAGCACCAGCGACTCCGCCGATGGCAACAGTGGGGGAGGTAGAGAGGTCGGGCTCAGGTGAGGGGGAGGGTAGGTGAACGTCGGTGTCCGGTGCAGGTGAAGGAGCGGGCCTAGGGGAGGAGGAGAGAAGGGGTAACAAAGGAGAGAGAAAAAATCTG